AACTATTTGATTTAATCATCAATTGCTTGACTTGTCATACTAAGAAACTCGACAAGTATAATTGAAAAGGCACAATTAACAAACTCAAATAAACTAAATTTTTTTCAATTCAATTAGTTAATTTTCTAATTTGATTAGAAAAAATTAAAATAATTTAATTAATTCAATATAAAAAACTAAAAAAATTATTTAGATTCGATTCTTGGTCTAGAATCCAGAATCGAACCAAATCCATCGGTTCTCGATTCAGATACCCGTTCGAGTATTTAACTCATGAAGAACCGCTCGGTTCAGTTCGGTCCGTGTCTGTTCAAGAGTTTTGTCCAGCCCTAAGAAAAAGGAAGAAACCTACAGTCCTTTAACATGCACGCTCAACTAGGGGTGGGTGTGGGTTGGGTCGGTTTTTGCCCCAAACCCAAACCCAACCCAACATGGTCGGTTTATTCGAAATCCAACCCAACCCATGTAAATGTTGAAACCCTACCCAACCCAACCCAACCCAATTATGTGTCGGTCGGGGTTGGTCGGGTTGTATCGATCATTATTAGTAATAGATGAGGTAGGTCAGTGTGAACTAGTAAATGAGTATAGTGCCCCATTAATCCATTAGCCTACGCACATCCCATGAGACCAGCACCCAAATGAAATTATGAGACACTAATATAATAACTTATCCTTAGAAACCAGGCATCCACTCACGGTAATTGCATTCAAAATCAGAGGCTACTAAAAGTAAAAAGGAAAAAATTAATGATTTTCTATGAAGAAACACAAAGCATACCTGGGCTACTAAAAGATCAAAATGAAAGCTGTTTATGTCATACCAAGTAATTTTTCTCCTTGTCCTTGCCCTCGACATTCAGGAGAAACAGTAATAGCTGCAACCTCTCCACACTTGTCTTCAAAAAATGGAAAAAGAGCGGAGCAGGCTATAATTTGACCTTCTCTTTCAACGACTATGAATGAATTCAGTTCTATAAGTAGCTACAATACATAAACAATAATGAGGTATTGAACAAATGGTGTGAAGATTATAAAAATTAAATCATGATAACAGGAGCAAACCTCTTCCTCTGTCCTTCTTGTCAATGTGCCAGAATCTTCTAAAGGTTGCAAAAGTTGTTTGATTCCAGGGAGATCTGCAACTCTAGCCATTCGAGTTCCTTCATAAAGATCGCTGCATAATGTAGTCAATTCATATGTGATAAAAAAGTTGGGGTGTTTGATTTGGATAATACCCAGAGACCTTCATAATTTGCAGAAAACAAAAGCAAACAAACTGCCCCTATTCGGCTATTCTCACCTACTCTCCCACTTCATCTTCTCCACCCATCTCCACCCCCATCCCATCCCATCCCAGTCCAACCCACCCCCTCAACCAAAACCAGATCAAATCCACCATTCACCGTCGCCTATCGCAACCACCCAATCACTCGCCATCGTCTACCCACTGGGAAAACCTACAAAAATATTAACAAAGGCACTACCTTTACACCACTACTTCGAACCCCCAAGTTAACTAAAAGAATTTCTCTGCATTTGCAAACTTACCTTGAAGAGAGGAAAAGAGAGGCGAAGAGGCATGAAGAGATGCGAGAGAAGAAATGAAATGACCTAATCCAAGTATAGGGTTTTACTTTTACCATTTTAGACTTTTAGTTGACAATTTTTTTTTTAACTGGCGTGTCGGGTTGGGCGATTTTTGTCAGGTTGGGTGAGTTAACCCATAATCGACCTAACTCGACCCAATTAACCTTGCCAACCGACCGAACCCATAAAAAAATGAACAAAAAATCGACCCAACCAGGTCGGATTGGGTCGGGTGCGGGCGGGTTTTGCCCACCCCTACGCTCAACCAGCTCAAATTTGAGTATAAATATATATATGAATCTTTTCATTATCTTGAAGGAGGGCGATAGAAACTTCAAGTTAAAAAGCATCTGGTTGGCAGTGGTCACAAGCATAAGTCATTATAATGGCAAGTATTACAATGTTTATTGTATTATGTCTTGTGCCAAAGAGGTTGACTTACATAGATAGTGAACTTATTTAATCAATCAAATATGGTCTTTTCTGATTCATTTCCTTCTCATGAATATTTTTTTATTTCTTTTCCTTTTCTAGTAGTTCCTTTCTGATTGGCTACACGATTGAATATTGATGCATGAAAAAAAAATTGTATACATCAAAATCTAATATTTTCCTATTGTCAGGAGAAAAACTTCTGCAACTCAACAAAGTAATTCATCCACTAATGGACACATTGTCATTACAATCAATGCCATTAAAATACAATCAAAATATTAAAATCTCTTAGTTTTGTATATAAGCTAGATTTAGCAATATGGATAGCAAGTGTAGATTGGATCGAACAACTGCTATGAATTACAACCGAGAAATAGAATATATTTCGAATGAAAAATTCTCGGTTACAAAACACGAGCCGCCAAGTTTAAACCCAAGTGCATCTAGTCAAACATCTAGCTTTCTAAAGCCTATTGAAGTCAATATCCATTAAAAGGATAAGAGTAAAATAAAGAAATGGAAGGTTTTCGTTTCTTTATTCAACCCAAACAATACAATAAAAAACAAACCAGATGACTAAAATCTTAGCGAAAGTAATGTGGTTGATAACCACTAGCCATAGAATTCTTCCCCCAGTCTCTACTCTCCTTGTCTCCATCTGGGCTTTGCAATCCACGTGTTGCACACTGTTAAGGCTATTGGAAAAAAAATGAGGAAATGGCTTATTTGGCATAAATTTTGAGTGGGACCTGTTTGCTTATTTTGGAAAATCAACATTGATTTGTGTTCTCCTCCACGAGAACATCGAAATCGTGAATTTACTTGTCAAAAAAGAAGCTCTGGTGAATGAGAAATTGGAGTTCAAAGTGGAACATTGGATTGTTGTTTATGTTGGAGAGAAAACTAAATTTGAGTTTATCCAACATAGGAAGTCTATGAAAGCAAGAACCACTTTATCTATGGCTACACTTTGGAAGTGTGTATTCATGTGTAGCATAGAGGCTCTCTCCACGTGTCCGCGTAGGGGGATGCAAATCACGGACCGTAATAGGCTTCGGACCTTAAACTTGTGTGCGGGCGCGACATGCGTACATGAATTTCGGACCAAATTGGCTCCTTAGGATGACCTATGTTGTGTCAATTTTTTTGCTTTCAACAATTGACTTTTGATTTCTGAAACTCCAA